TGTTGTTGTTAACTGCTGTCGAGTCAATTCCAACCCATAGTGACCCTGTATAGGGTTTCCAAGGAGAAGCTGGTGAACTTGAACCACTGATCTCGCAGTTCAAATGACTTTGCAGTCTGATGCATTAGCCCACAGAGCCACACCAGGAATCCCTTTAGGATGCCTTTAAAATAAGGTCCAATCAAAACAGTGGCTCCTGAGGGGACCTGCTGGGCCAGTAAAACTCAAGGCAGAGCCATCAGCTCAGACAGAAGGTTATGGTAACTGATTTTTTAGGATTTCAAAGAGATGATCTTCATATATTTCCTCAAAGGACACAGGACGACCACAGGGAAGGAGTCATTAAGAAGTTTAAACAAGACAAAACTGCATTAGTGAGAAAAAAGACCAGGAAAGTTGTGCTGAGGAATTCACAACAATGCAACTGCTCATCCTTGAAAGGCAGCAAGAGGTGTCCTAAGAGAATTTTGTTAGGAAATCTTACCCCATCCACCTTACTACCCTGATGTTGCCCATTCAGCCTTCTCTTGGTTCGCCACACTCAAAGAACAGTTAAAAGGAACACAATTTGAGTCCCTTGAAGATGTCAAAAGTACTGTTTTGATGTGGGGAAGGGCTTTTGTTGTTGCTCAGTACCATCGAGTAACCCTGTATAGAGTTTCCGAGGAGCGGTTGGTGGGTTTAAACCACCAATCTTTTGGTTAGCTGTTCAGTGCCACACCAGGACTTGGGGAAGAGTTAGAGATATGGAAACACCACCACTAAAAATGTATAGACCTAGATGGAGAATATGTCAAGAAACAATAGCTTCACATCTTGATATTTTTGTTTAACAAAGTTTCTATGACTTTCTCGTGATGCTATTTTACTTACCCTCATATTTTTACTCCTTCCCTAAAACCCACTAGAGTGGATTTTTTTAAAAAAAGGATACATGACCACAAAGATGGGGAGCGCAGGCAAGGACAACAAGAGAAACAACACATTTTGAAAGGTAGGAAACACATAAGACAAATGGAGAAAGATTTAGCAGACCCAAGGAAGCTTAACCCTTAACTAGCAGTGGGGAGAACTGAAAATGACCCTTTTAATACCAGGAAATTCTCAAAAGGCATACGACTTGGCACCCAGGTAGCTTTGGAATGGGAAGCAAAGGGAAGGAGGTCGGTTGAAAGTTACTTAAGAAGCAATTCGATCTCTTAATCTCCTCACTACATACCCCTGTGTGACTGATGGTTTCTTCCTTACCTCAGCCAAAGGTGAGATTTACTATTTGGGAAAGCAAAACTGTGGACTAAGAATAAGCCAAACACTCCATCAAGAAAAACATTTTGGAAGAGTTCTAAGAATCCATCAAAACAAGAATGCAAACCAAAGAGGAAAATGTGTAATAAAGATGCCAGAACATTCATCACAGGAGAGGGATCCTACAGGATGATGACAAAGGGAAAGCCTAGGATGACAAGTGAGCATCAGACACAGAGGACAGCTCAATCATACTGGAGAAGAGGAACTTAGAGGAGCACTGTCATCACCATGCCCTCTGATGCTGAACCAGCCTCAGGACCTGATGAAAACTGCTGAAGAATGTCTTTCAATGGAGCCAAGAAAGGCCAGGACAGGAGATCCAGGAAACGGAATCCAATCCAGGAGACAGGCAAAGGAAAAACCCAAGGTAACAGCTGTGTACCAGACTTAGAAGACCACCAGTCCAAACAGCAGAGTAAGACAGATGGTTCCAAGGAAAGTAACTGATAGGTTATTGTTAACATTGATCTTGTAGCAATCTGTATTAGGGGGTTATTAGACTTTCTAATAACCTTTATTAGAAAGTCTAATATTTATTAGAAAGTCTAAGGAAAAGAATGGAATAGATACAAGAAAATGAAACAGATGAAAAACTGAAGGCAAGTATTGACTATTAGAAAAACAGAAGAAACAGAATCACAATATACTATAATGTTCAGTTATAAAATATATTGGCATAGGCATAATGAAATACACATTAAGTATGATTTAGCAAATGATGCTGTAACTATATTGAGAGGGAAGGAGCCTTGGTGAGGCAGTGGGTTCAGCACCAGGCTGCCAACCAAAAGGTCAGCAGTTCCACAGGAGAAAGATGAGACAATCCACTTCTGTAAAGATGGCGGCCTTGGAAATGCTAGGGGGCAGTTCTACTCTGTCCATTAGGGTCTTGACTAATCAGAATGGACTCGACAGCAATGGGTTTGGTTTTGGTTTATATTAAGAGGATATGTGAGGAATAACAAAGAAAATCATGACCTAAGAGAGTGAATTCCTTGTCCACCATAACAGAAGACTAAAGAGAAGATCTAAAATTGAAAATTTAAACATTAGCTTTATTCACATATTACTTGTTAAGTGCCATCGAGTCAGTTCCGATCCATAGTGATTCTGTATAGGATTTCCAAGGAGCAGATGGTGGGTTTGAACCGCAGACCTGGTGGTTAGCAGTCCAGTGCTTCTCCTACAGTGTGAGTCCCCAGGACACACATTATTACTCATTGTTGTTGTTGTTGTTAGGTGCCATCAAGTCGGTACTGACCCATAGCGACCTTATGCACAACAGAACGAAATACTGCCCAATCCTGGGCCAACCTCACTACTGTTGCCATGCTTGAGTCCATCGATGCTGCCACTTGGCCAATCCATCTCTTTGGGGGTCTTCCTCTTTTTCTCTGAACCTCCACCTTACCAAACATGATACCCTTCTCCAGAGACTGGTCCCTCCTGACAATATGTCCAAAGTATGAGAGATGAAGTTTGGCTATCTTGGCCTCTAAGGAGCACTCTGGCTGCACTTCTTCCAAAACGGATCTATTGGTTCTTTTGGCAGCCAGTGGCACTTTCAATATTCTCCTCCAACATCATAACTCAAAGGCACCAATTCTTCTACGGTCTTCCTTATTCACATTATTACTTAGCATTATAAAAATGGATGCACCCCAGAGGAAAACAGATAAAATGTGAAAACAGTTACATCTGGAAAGACAAACTGATGGGAGGTGGCAAACTGCTGATATAGGCCTTTTAGTATCATTTGAAGTCTTTAATTTTGTGTGTATATTATTTTGATAAAATCAAATCATCAAAAAGAAGGGAATTCTATGCAGAGAAAACAGCATATGTAACAGCATGGGGTTCTGAAAGCGCTGAGTTTTTCTAGAAACTTGTGTCACAATAGTGTAGGAAATGCAGGCAGGGACCAGCAGTGTCTGACACCATGGAGAGGCAAAGTAGTAGCTCCTCCTCACTAGCTTTGTGGATGTTGGCAAGTCACCTAACCCCTCCCAGTTTCCTCCTAACTAATAATAATACTTACTTCACAGGGTTGTTATAGGAACTCCATGACAACAGAAATAGATGAACTTTGCAAGATGTACAAAGGTAATGGATGCAGGCATAGCTCTGTGTCCGTTGGAGCAGGGAGTCCTCAGCCTAAAGCTCAGAGGATCAGGGTAATAATGAAAACTACTCATTGGAACCCAATGCCTACACAAGTTCCCCCAAAACAGGGAATGTCATAGCTGGAATCCATCTACAAGTCTCTGACCCAATGTCCTTGAGTTACAGAGCAAACAGGCCCTCAGTGGAAACCTTGAGCTGCGGATGCTGAGCTGGGAGGGCAGCTGCCCATGTTCTGCCCTCTCCCTTCCCAGCTCCACCCCGTGCGGCAGCTTGGTACAACAGAAGGCTCTGCTTGGATGTGTGGTGGAGGAGCAATGCCTGGAGCCAACTTCCCAGTATGCCCACCCTTCTATTACTCCCCCTCCAAAGAGCATCACTCTGCTTTCTAGTCTGCCAACTGGCTCCCTGTTGCCTCCAATCGTATTATTGAGCGTGTTGTGGTTGTTACGTACTGTAGAGTCAGCTGTGACTCATAGCGAACTTGTGTAGGGTTTCTGAGGAGCGACTGGTGGATCTGAACCACTGACCTTGTAGTTCAAACTGACCTTGTAGTCCAGTGCTTTATCCTGCAACTCCACACTTAGTCATATGCAAATAGAGACAGTCTTAATGAATTTAGCAGAATCCTGATGTGGCGCTATGGGTTAATGTGCTAGACTGTAAGGTTTGTTTGACCACAAGGTTGGCAGTTCAAGCTCACCAACTACTCCTTGGAAACTCTGTACAGGTTCACTATAAATCAGAACCAATTCGACAGCACTTGACAACAACACAACAACAATGAACTTAGCACTTATATGATACTTACTATATGGCAGGGGCTATTCCAAATATTTTTGCAAGCATTAATTCATTCAATCCTCACAAAAACCCCCCTATAAAAGAAGTGTTATTATTATTCCCACTTTACAGATGAGTTAACTGAGGGGCAAAGAGATTACGTAACCGGATGTCCTATGATTATGGAGTCCTGGTGTGGCACTGTAGCATAAGGACTTGACTCCTAATGACAAGGTGGTAGTTCAAACCACCAGCATCACTCCTTGAACCCGTATACAGGGTCACAACACGTCAGAATCAACTTAATGGCACTTAACAACAACGTCTTATGATTGGAAGAGGATGAGCCAGGATCTGAGTCCAGCTCTAGACTCCGTACTCATAACCTGACTTTACTCCCTCTTAATCTTGAGTTTCTCAAGCTTCAAACTACTCATCTGTAAAATGGGTCACTCAGGGAGAGGGCCTCAAAACTCTCTTTTAATCTGAGAATGTCTGTTCTTGAAACTAAAATTCATCAGACATGTATGTATACCTGAGAGTGAGGAGCCTGTATTAAGTACAGGTTTTGAAGGAGAAGTGCAAGGTGTGTATGTGGCCCAGAATGGTAGGAGAAAGGGACCCAGCCCACACAGAGATTAAACTGGGGAGAAAGGGAAGGAAGCAAATGTCAACTTGCATAGTTTTATGCACACGGTCAGCTTTCACACCATGCCAGTTCCCACAGCCTCCTTGGGCCCTGCTCTGTACAGAGGTCCTGGCACAGAGCACACAGACAGCCTCTTTACCTGTGACGATGCAGGTGAACAGCACGTCGCTGTCCTCGGACACAGCCCGGGACTTGAGCGTGGTCTCGAATAGCGGCTGGGTCTCCTCTGTTAGCTGAGCAATGATGGAGCAGAAGGTGCTCCTAGGAAAAGGCAAAGAGCTATTCAGAGCAGCCCTCCCCCAAAATATACCACAGCCTGGCATTGTTAGGGGCAGCTTACATCTCTACCTTTGCAATGTCCATCCATCATCCCACGGCCATGGCCATGGCCACAGCGTCTGGGCAACTCTTCCTTCAAGGGCGTCTGGGACTCATGGCCAGGTCAGGGTCAGGGATGATGCCCAGGAGCAGAATGGAATCCTAGCCTAGGCCCAGTACAACAGGCAGGCTGCTGACCACAGGCCAAGGTCCTGAGCAGGCCAGTCTTCAAACTAGGTATCCCTACCCCACCCCCACTGGGGGCCTTGCTTCACAGTTTCCTTGTCATCTCTTTGTGCATAGGGAAGACACACACATGTATATATCAAGTCTCTGGGATGAAGCCCCCAGCACAGCAGCTTCCATCCATGCCAAAGAGGGAAAAGCTGGCAACTTTCAAGGAGACAGAGGTCCTAAGAGCTCAGGAGCCCCTCTTGGAGCTTGGGCTCCAAAGAAAAACTCTGGCATTTGTGAGCACAAATTCATAGTGGACAAAGAAGTCAGCCATTGTCAAGGGCCCACAATCAAATGTGGATGCTAATGCCCAGGTATATCAGAAAAGAGAGACTCAAAAGCACTCTGACCCCAACAAGGCTCTGGACCTTCAGTGGAGAGCCAGTCATGGCTCCCTTGGTCTATCCTTGGGAGCAATATGCTGCAATACATGACTGGCTGCTCTAGAACCAACCAGATGGACTACCGAGCCACAAATAGTTCTACCCTGCAAAACCAGGGGATTTACTTCCCTTGACATCTGTGCACTTACTGAGCTCATGGCAAACTCATCAACAATGCTCAGGGCTCACAGATTTCTCCTTCCTGGGCTCAGGAAACAAACCACCATGCCAAACCACTTTCATGGGCCAGCAGAGACACAAGTCCATTCCTAGGCATGAAGCGCAACCATGTAGCCAGGTGTGTGGTGCATCGTCTGTACCCAGCCCTGCTCCCCCTCCTCACACACACCTGATGTGAGCAGCAGAGAAGACTGTGAGGGGGCAAAGTGAGGAGAAGCAGGAGGAACCATGAGTGACAAAGGAGTCCTTCTCTGTGCCTCGGATGAGAGGGTGGTCACCCAAGGGCAAAGTGTATCTGTCCTCTTTACTTCTTGGGTAGGAACACAAGTAAACAGAATCTACAGCCTACATACTTGGAGAGGTAGGTTCCACATTCAGTATCTCATGTTTATATATTGTTGTTGTTAAGTGCCGTGGAGTCAGTTCCGACCCATAGCGACCCTGTCCAGGGTTTCTGAGGCTGTAAATCTTTACGGGAACAGAAAACCTCATCTTTCTCCCGCGGAGTGGCTGGTAGTTTCAAACTGCTGACTTTGCGGTTCGCAGCCCGATTCGTAACCACTACGCTACCAGACCTCCTTAAGTGTGAGGAGGAAGGTTGCATCCCAGGAAGAGTGTGGAATCAAGTAAGCTTTCTAGACTGATTGGGGCATTTTCCACAGGAGCGCAGATGCCATACATTCAGGGAGATGGCAGGAGCCCTGAGGCCCCACAAAGACGCCACAGAAAAGGGATTCCAACCCCACAAACTAGAACACTTGAGTTGGGTCTGCAGTTAGACTTTCATAAAACAATGAAACATTCTTGCATAGGACTCTGTTCAATAAACTTCCTTTCATTTCCCTCTTAAACCAATCAGAAAACAGAAGATCATAGGCTCGGGACACACGTTCTCCACGCCCTGAACACTCAGGAAGTAAGATTGAAAACAAAACAGAACTTCTAGCACCTTTCATACTAACAGCAATTTCTGACTTTGGGCTATACCAAATCTCAACCACAGTTTCTAGAGACACCACATTGCTGTAATTGCTGATAGGAATCTGACTTTTATGGCTCTATAACTAATTCCTGCAAGGTCGGTGGTTCAAGTTCACCAGTCACTCCTCGGAAACCCTATACAGGGTTGCTACGGGTTGGAACCGACTCGACGGCACTTAACAACAACAATAACTAATTCAGAAACCCCCTAATTCTACCCTCCCAACATATTTTGATTCCTACCTTACCCATGAACATGACCCTGAATCCAATATTTAGTTTAGACTTTTAGGGATGAAACTGTTTGGGCAAATCTTGAGAAAATCATGTCAGCTTTTGGGTAAGAGAAAAATATGAGAACTACACTTGAAGAAAATCTGCAGAGACAAGTGATAGAAATTCAACAATAGATAGTTATTTGTCTCATTATTCTTTGTGAATGGGAAAGAACATGTATCTTTTCAAACTCCCCACAGTAGGTCCTAAATTATATTATTTTCTAAACATGCTTATGTTTGAAAATCATAAGTAACAGTTGAAACATGACTAGAGGAAAGCCCTCCAGTGGCGTGGGCTTGGGGTGTGTTTGAGGGGAAAGGGAGAGTCACTGCATACTGTCTACCGAATGTCACGCAGCTTCTCATTGCCACAAGCTTCTTGTCTTCATCCTCCAAACCACACATATGGGACAGCCTCTTAGTGTGTTACATCCAATTCCCTGGAAAGCCAGGAAGTCTACACATCTGGAAATGGTCTCATCCCACTCTGACATCTCCAAGCCCTGCCAATTCTGTGAGCTCATAAGGATATCATGTCCTAATCACATGTCTCTAAAGAACACCAGCATCCTTGGTTTACATGGTGTTCAAAGGAGCCGTGACTTTGCCCATAGGTTTGATTATTTACCTCGTTTTAAGTAAACCTCCACATCTTGTCTCTTTCAGCACTTTCTATACTCTGCTTTGAACTAGTTAGTGTCACTTCTTTCCACCTCCTTCTGACTGTGCGCCCTCAGAACAAAGATCTTCCAGTGTTTTCTCTCACCAAATGACCACATACTTGGTGGGTGCTAACAATGTCTTAGGCACTGTCAGCTATTCACAGCTCCGTGAGCTACTCAGAAATCTTTCTGTGTAAAGAAACTGCAGCCAACTCCCCCAAAACCTACCAGAGTCTGGGATGAGGCCCAAGTGGTGGGAAGTAGCCAAGAAATGTTCCCACTTTGATCATAACAGTCAGTTCAGCCAGAGGTAGAGAGCTGTCCCCAGCTCAGGAGGCAAGAGGACAGTCCTCAACCATCCTCCACCAGCAAACCCCAGCCCTGGGCCTGTTTCTAAAGCAGATCTGACCAGTGCAGCGACCTGCTCACACGGTGTTGCCAGACATCACCACAGCCATGGTTAGCAGGAGTGAGCAAGAGTCGAAGGAAGGGAAAATTGTGAAAAAGCGGTAGTAAAAGGAGAACTTAAGGATTAAAGACAAGATATTTTTAAAAGGTAGTGGTCATATAAGAAAGGCGAAAGGGTGTCAAACCTGGATTTGTGGTTACAGAGACCATGGAAACCCAGGTTAGGGAAGAGGTGGATCATGTGACCAGTGGCTCCCTGTTGCCTTGCCATGGTGTCTCTCCCTGGGGCACAGAGCTCTTGTTGCAAGCATCTCAGGGACCCCTGACCATATCTCTCTTCCCGGGTCCTTGCACTACTTCCAAATGGCCCATGCAAACATCAGCCCTGGTCCCTGTGAGATCCATGCTCACGTGAGTAGCCTCTCATAGCCGCCCCCACTCACCTTCCAGCCCTCCCCTCACCCCATGCAGCCTGGTTAGTGCACAAGCAGTCACCCAGTGGCCCCTCCATCACCCAGACCCAAGGAAAAAAAGGCAGTCCGAGAAATGTAATGCAATATGCGTTTACCTTCCAGAGCTGGGGTGAGACAACCGGCTGCTTGATAAGCTAAGCAAAAACAGCAAATGGAATGATTAGGCCAAAAAAGCAAGGAGAGGAGGAGGCGAAATCAACAACAGTTGCAAAGTATTAACCGGCCACCATCTGGGGCCCAGAGGCCTTTCTATTAAAAGGGACCAGCTGTCTTAGTTGGCCTGCTCCGGCTAGCAAGTGGCCTCACCATCGGACACCAACGTATCTGGAATCAAGAGCTGGTAAAATGCAGCAGAATCCAAGAAAATGGTTAGGTAGGAGGGAGATCCCCTGGGGTGACACTTTGAGAAAGGTGTGCCCCAGGTACCTGGGTCAGTGCCCTAAAGAGAAGGGCTGACAGCTACCTCACACATTTCCCGGCCCCGAGGCACACCAGCCCAGGGCAGCTCCTGCTTCATCCCTGGGCCTTTTGGGGAAGAAGACGTCCCAATCCTGGAAATCTCCTGGCAAAGTAGGAAATAGATACCCACCATTAATATGTTAAGGTTTGGTTAAGGAGACCACACCAGGCAAATCAGCTGCGAGAATGGATAAGAGAAGAAAACAAAGCGGTTAATTCCAGGAAGAGCCGGAGGCACCCGCTCAGTCAGGGCAGCTCAAAGCCCCCTGGCCTTGGGGCTCCATCATCCCACCTGCCTGGGGAGATGACAGCAGATACCAGCTGAAACGGGTAGACCACCGAGGGATGAAGGCCCACACTGGACAGCCCACTTGGGATGAGCCAACTTTGAGTTCTCCCTCTACCGTTCCAAAACAAAATTTCTCCATTGAACTCTTGGTGAATTCTCAGGGCGACCCTATCCAAACTCTTTCTCTTCAGCCATATCTACCTTGAGAAAAAATGTTCCCTTTTTATCTGTAGCTTGGCCTGCACCTCAATGGCACTCGAGGTCCACATTTCAAATCACAAGAAAGCTCCCCTGAGGTCCTGTCTTTTTCTAATCACACAACCAAACTCGTCCTTTTCCCCAAAATCAACTTCCCCGGAGTCCTCCTGAGTTTGCGGATCCCACCATCATTCTCATCCTCCCAAACACCTAAACTTAAAACCTGCCATCAGGGACTCCTCCCTCTCCCATCCTCCAAGCCAAGTCAGCCACCAATTCTTGACCCTTCCTTCTTTTTTCTCCACTCCAGTCCCTCATTCTAGGTTCCATATTTGATGACCACCTCAGCTCCTTTCTCCTTATCCCTTACACCATACTACTTCTCTGACCAAAATGCTACAATTCCCCCACTGTCTACTGTATTGAGTCTCAACTCTTTGGGTAGTTAAGGCCCTTCCTGATAGGCTCTTAACCCCATTATAACCATCATTCCCTCTACTTTCCACCATTTATGTTCTACTTCAGCCTGCCCTGTCCCTGCACTGGCATGAACATGTCCACTTGGAAAGCCTGCCTTCCTTCCTTACAGTTCAACTAAATGCTGTCCACCCAGCCTTCAAATCTAGCTCATCCATACCTTGGGTAGCTAGCACAGTGCTAGGCACACAATGGTTGGATGGTGGCGGTGGTGGTTATGTGCTGTGGAGTTGGTTCTGACTCAGTGACCCTGTATAGTTTCCAAGGCTGTAGCTATGGGTCGGTACCAACTTGATGGCACCTAACAACAACAACAAATCTTTACGGGAGCAAAAAGCCTCATCTTTCTTCTGTGGAGTGGCTGGTAGATTAAATTTCTGACCTTTGGATTAGCAGCTCAGGTCGTAATCCACTGGGCTACCAGAGCTCTTTATACAGTGGGTATTGACTGTTTTAGAGACGGAAGAATAGGAGGCAAGGAGGGAAAGACAGAAAAAACATCTTTCAAATAAGAAGGGTCTTGCCCCCCAGAGGGAGCTGGTGCTCCAGAAAACAAGGGAAGAAGGAAGCCAAAGCGCAGCTGCTTTTGCTAAGAGGTTGTTTAAACCCCCTGGAGGCTGTGTGGGCAGAACTTTCCATGAGTCCAAGACTGGCCAACTCCATCCTTTCCTGACTATGAACTTCCTTTAGCCCCTTCTCCTTAGAGCTGAGAAACTTCTACTTTGTTAGGTCTGGATTTCTTTTCTAGGGAGGAGAGGGAGTGAATCAGCTCTTGAATTTAGAGAGGACAAGGACAAATTTCACAGGCTCCACCTGCAAATGGGCAAGGGACTGGGCTGAGATGGTGACCTTCCCTCTCTCCACACATCCTTCCTGAAACTCTCTGGTTGGGATGCTCTGTTTTCTGGCTCCATTTCTTCTCTTTCTCTGGGCTTTATGCTTGGGTTTCCTGCCTGTACCCTGCTGATTAGGTAAGAGACAGGTAAGGTTACTACCTCTAACAAAGTCTGCATTGGAGACATCAAATGCTGGGGCAGAGAAACCTTAAAGTTTAAACCTTTAGTTTTACATAACAGGAATCTAGGACCAGAAAGGGACCTCTTCACATAAGGAGAGATGTGGGCCTGGTGAAAGGGTAAGAGACCAGTCATGGAAGCTGGGGACCTTCTACTCTTGACTGGTTTTTATAGATTCTGGGACATAAAAGGCCCTTGGGAAGTCCTGGCTTGATGCTTCAGTTTCCCTGGGCCCCTTAGGTGACCTCCCTGACCCAAGCAATGCAGCAGACATTATAAAGCTCTCTATGGGGATGTCACAGACTCTGCTGCTCCTCTGAGCCTGACTGGGCCTCGAAAAATAAGGGACTTCTGGTCCTCAGAAGCAAGTGGTTCCTTAACCCACCCTAGCCTACCACACCGTCCCATCCCATAGGGGTAACGCACTCTAGACCAGCGGCCTAAGGGGCTGGGCCTATATTGTCTGGTGGAACTATCTACCTGGTAGATGGCTGACTCCAGTGGGTATTGGAAACATCCTTGAGCTGATTATGGACTAGAAACTCCTCCAGAGACAGAGATGGGGAGGAGAGTTGGGACCCTGAACCAAGGTTTCTGGCTCCCCTGCCCCAAGCCAGCTGTCCATCAGCTCTCAAGGGCAGCCCATCCTCACAAGGGCCCACCAGAAAGATGTTTCAAGAGCTCTCTGATAAATATGTATAGAGGTAGGCCTGAAAAACATTGGAGCCCAGAGTGAATTAGCCTGGGCTCACCTCTCAGTCAGGACCCTGGGATAGTGAGGACTCTTGAGAACACAGTGAATGGGGGCTGGAACTAGGGATCGCCTCCCAGGATGTGCTTTCTCACTTATCTCATGGGGCTCTTCCCACCCCCATAGGGAGTGGGGGTCTGCTGAGGGACACTGGACTGTTGTCATCTACTTCAACCCAAGTCAAGCTTGGCCAGAGAACTGGAAACTCTCCCCAATGAACACCCCAACCACACTCTCCTCTCTTTGGCCAGAGACTTTTCCTAAGAATTTAACTCAACTTGTTCCTCATGACCTGCTGGGGTCAGTGGCCAGCTAGCAGGAACAGGGGCAAAGCACAGCCCAGAGTCTTGGGCTAGAAAATCTTCTTACCACGGCCATGCCATGCCTTCTCCAAAGGCTTGATGAAAAGTCTCTTTTTAAGAACATTCCCATTAAAGTCCATAGGGGATTTAAGTCAAGTCACTTCTATCCTTCCTCGAACTCTCAGGTTGGAACACTTCTTTGTGCTCCTCGGGTGTGTAATTAAGATTCATCTACCACACAACTGGAGACCTAGTATGTTGCTATGGTTAATGCGCTGGGCTGCAAGGTTGGTTTGAGCCACACGGTCAGTGGGTCAAGCTCACCAGCCGCTTCTCAGAAACCCTATTCAGGGTCTCTATGAGTCAGAACTGACTCGACAGCACTTAACAACAACAACCACACAACTGCTCGGCCAGATTGCCTCACTATCTCCACTCTCTCAGCAGCCTCTGTCCTAACGACTCAGACATCTTCCCCTCCCCATTCTCAATATTCAAGTTTCCTTTCCTTTTCTCTCTCTCCCTCTCCTCCTTCCATTACTGCCGTCCCCAAGAAGTACTCTGCGTCCACCTCTTGTATTGACAAAGACCCGAGTCCAGAGGCAAAACAATTGAGACAAATATAAGACCCCCATAAACGGGTGTCACCAAGGACTGCTGTAAATGCTCACATTTCATTCAAGGTTTTCTGGAGCGCCAGTGGCTGGGAGGAAGAGGTATTCTTTATTGGCAGTCAGGGGCCTTGTAGCATCTGACTCAGTCACTAACACCAGCCCTCAGCCCTGCCTCAGACATGTGACACCATTTGACGAGTTTTATGCAGAAACCGGTTCCGGTTACAACTGAACTTTCCCAACTCCAAGGTCAATAGGACTCAGCCAATCCACGAGGAAGTTTCTGGGGCTTTTCCTAAATGTCCTTGATGTGTGTTTTTGGGACAGAGGACAAGAGGTCCAGACACAGCTTCTTAAAAAGGAGGGGCTGCTTTCTGCATAATCGAGAACAAGCCAAGTTCTGGGGAGATGAAGCAACCACCCTTTCAATAGTCAAACTGTCACATTTCCCTGGAGAAAGCAGGCTCCAGAACTGGAAGGAAAACTGAGCGGCCCACAGGGGGCAGGAAGTACCCATCTCCATGGCAACATTCATGTCTGGGTGTGTCTGCGTGCCTTTGAGTGCCTGTACACTTCTCTACTGTCTATCTGTGTGTCTGTGATTAGCCTAGCTCTTCAAACAAAACCTCAACATTTCTTTAAGTTCTTGGAAGAAAGAGTATCATTTAGAACATCAGTTAGACCCCCTCCTTGGCACTGAACTATCCCATATGGGGCAGGGCAATCGGCTCTCTCAGAGCCATAAGCTCTCAATCAAGGACATTTCTAGACAAGACCAACTAGCTCGGCATCCTAGCTCCCACAGGGTCTTGGGGAAGACCAAAGGTCCTGGCCAGAGGAAGCTTATTTACATAAGGTTTATTACAGGGTTGCTATGAGTCACAGGAGTCCTGGTGTGGTCCTCTGGGATAAGCACCGGACCACAATGGCCGGTTTAAACCACAAAGTTGGTGGTTCAAACTCACCAACTGCTCTTTGGAAACCCTATTCCAAAACCTATGAGTTGGAAGCGACTCAATGGCACTTAACAACAACAAAGTTTCTTCTTGGTGAATCTTGCTCCCTTCCTGTGGGCTAAGCAGGCCCCCATCACTGCAGCCTTGCACCCGCCCCTCATGAGGAGTGCGCTCCCCCTCCCTGCCAGTAGTGAGGAATTTCAGCCACTCTGCCTTTCCTTATCACCAACTGGAATTCCAGTTACTGTGGAGGCATGGTGTGGGGTGAGGGGTGTCCAGGGACAGGGAGAGAGGGAGAATCTTCAGGCCCCAGCCTATGAAATGACCCCGAAATTGAACCTTGAATAGGAAGAGATCTCCGTCCTTAAGAGTGGAAGAGCCAGCGGGGACCACTCAGGCCTGTCCCCAGGCTTGGCCCTTCGAGTTGAGAGAGGTGGAGGGCGCCAGCCCCCAGGTCCAGGGTCCCAGCAACCCCGTGGCACTTCCAGCCAGCGCGTAGGACCCCCCTTGAGGTCCATCAGGCCCCGCAGACGACTCACCTGGTCTCTGGCCGCACACTGAGCAGGTAGCTGCGACTGGTCGGGCTGGGGGTCCACACAGGCCCGTCATCCTCGCCGTTGTCCCCTGCCCCTGACCGTAGGCCTGTGCCCCACTCGCGGCTTAGTACCCTCCGCGACACCATGGCGCCGCCGGCCCCTGCCCGCCTTGCAGACCCCTGCCCTCCTGGTCCCTGCCCGCCACCGGCCGCCGCGCCCGCCCGCCCGCGCCTGACGAGAGCCCCTATTTATAGCCCCGCGGTCACCTGCTGCTGTCCCTCCCCGTCTGATCGGGCCAAGCGCGGCCGCCGAGGCGCCGGGGGGCGCCAGACTGCAGGGGCCCCGCCTGCCTCGCCCTGCCTTGCCCTGAGTTGCAGACCACCAGATTCATTCATTCATTCCCTCGGCCCAGGGCCCCACGTGCAGGGAGCCCCGGGGGGAGGGGGGGAGGAGAGGGAGGAAGCCCCGAGTGGCCTTCTGGAGCAGGGCAGAATGCCCAGTTCTTGAAATGTAGAATCAGAAAAGCCCCTTCAAAGAGTTCCTAGGACCTCCACTTCCGGCCAATCTTCCTTCTTAGCACCAGTCAGTCCCTTTTTGCAAAAGACAGGCGACTGTTTTTTTTGGAATCCCAAAGAGGCGATATGGATAGATTCTGTTTAAAGGGTATGGGACAATTGTGGGGCCTTGTTAGAAAGAAATCTTAATAAAATGGAAAACTGCATTGATGAGAAAAAGGTCAGAAAAGTTGAACTGAGATTTTTTTTCCCATCACCAAAATGCTCGTTCTTTGAGGGTAACAAGGACCGCGGTATGAGAAATCTTATCCGTCTATCCTACTGCCTTGATCTTGCTCCTTCAGACATTTCAAAGGAACCTAATTTGAGGCCCTTGTTGTTACATGCCCTCAACTCCATTGGGACACATATCTACCCTGTATAGAGGTCCCAAGGAGCAGCAAATGGGTTTGAACAGCCCAATTTTGGGTTCACACTCTAGTTCTGATCCTACCACCACACCCGGACTCCATTGTTATAAGAGTAGTTGATCGAAAACAATAATTTATGTTGAGCCATCGCAACATTTTTATTAAAAGGCAAGTTTTACAGGTCCATTCTTAATGCTTCAGTAACTTTGGTTTCAAAGTCCCTAGGAACAAATTAATATTTAGAGAATTTTAGTCAAATACCAGTGAACAGTAACTTAAAGTTGATAGTTTAAAAAAAAAAATACTGCCTTCATTTTTAGCATAGACACCATTTGATTCTTTAATGCAACAAAACTATTTTCAGACCACTGATCTCATAATACTGAGCTCTACACTACTGATATACAGAATTTTTTAAGCTTATTACATGCAATTGAACATAGTCTTCCTTGCATCCAAAGTGCTAACAAAAATAAATGAAGTGCTAACAAAGCTCTAGCAATCAAGAATGCTAGTGTTATTTTTAAATAGTCAACATTGTGGCTTTTCAAATTTGGTTTTCGTAAGATAACTGATGATGAAATCAATCTCATTGTGCTTTTAAAAAATGTGCTAGGTTTGAAAAAGGATATTTGTACATAGGTATTTACCTTTCCTGCAAACACAGCTATGAATGTGGGGGAAGCATACAGCAGTCAAATGATGAAAACCTCTTAGATAATTATCAGACATCTTAATGCAATGAGTTGCTGGAGAGGGGGGCTCAGGACCAGAGTCTTAGGGAATCCCTGGGCAATGAACATAACACAGTCCACAAAGACAGTGTTACTATATCTTACTTTGGTGAATAGTGTCTGGGTTCTGAGAAGCTCATGAGTGGTTGTCTAAGGTGCAGATATTGGTTTCTCGATGTGCAAAAGAAAGAAAAGTGAGAATTTAAGGGGCTTGCATGAATATTAATGATATCATCCAATGATTTCTGCATTCAGCTGGATCACCTCTCTTTGATGGGCCAAAACACAGATCTCTTCCAACCAGTTGGCCAAGTTGCTGTTGTTGAGTACCGTTGATTCGATTCCAACCCATAGCGACCCTGTGTAGGGTTTCCAAGGAGCAGCTGGTGAGCTTGAACCACCAACCTTGCAGTTCAAACAGCTTTGCTGTCTGGCGCATTAACCCACAGTGCCAAACCAGGACTCCAGGTAGCTGTCTTCCAAATTTCTTGGTGTACATGAGTGAGTGCCTCCTGTACGCATTAGTTGGTTGAAATTTTTCAATTTGTATTCCATCAATTCCCTGAGCCTTGTTCTTTGTCAATACCTTCAGTGCCGCTTGGACTTCTTCCTTCTTTACCATTGACTCTTGATCATAAGCTCGCTCTTGAAATGACTGAACATCAACCATTTCTTTTTGGTACAATGACCCTGTGTATTCCTTTTATCCTTCTATATCTCATATTAAGGTTTGAATTTTTCTTCAGTTCTTTCAGCTGGAAAAATGCTCGACTTAGCTAATTGTTTTTAACTGTTGTGGCCCAGTGCTTAACCCACTACACTAAGAAGTATAGACCTCCTTGGAGAATATTTCAATGAACAGTAGTTTCACATTTTGATATTTTTGTTTAATAAAGGTGTCTATGGCCAAGTGGCAGCATCGATGGTCTCAAGCGTGGCAACAGTAGTGAGGTTGGCCCAGGATCGGGCAGTGTTTCATTCTGCTGTCCATAGGGTGGCTATGAGTCGGTACCAACTCGATGGCACCTAACAACAACAATAACAATGATTTTATAGTAATACTTTTTGATGTATCCTCAAATAAAACATCAAAATGGTAGTTTGGGCATACTCAGGGGTTTTAAATCAAGTGCTTTTAAATATTCTTTGAGTTTGGGGAACAAAAATACGTCTGAAGGAGTAAGATCAGGTCTGTAGAGTAAATAAGGTAAGGGTTCTAAACCTATTTATTATTATGTATTATTTATTTATTG